GTTCTTCCGACGCTGTCGTTGCAGCCATCGATCCCGTGGCAGAGACGGGTGCTGCAGCCCAGCAATGAGGCGGACGTCTGCGAACGGGTGATCCTTGTGAGCTTTCACGAAATCGTCCTCATCGAATTCCACATCTGTGGAGCAGTCTGAACCGATCATAAACAGCGCCGAGAGGTCTGACTTCATGTCCATGGAGTCACGCACCAAACTACACACCTCTGAGGGTTCGGGCTCGGGCGGTGGTTTTCCCTCACGTAGGCGTCTACTAGTGGGTAGCGAGCCATCCCAATTCCAAATGCGTTCATTATCGTCATGGACGGTTTTGGCGCTCGCCCGCCAGCGGGGTGTCTCATCATCAGAACTGGAGACGGGTTGACAAGATTCTCGAGCCATTGCTTTTAGATAATCTCTCCCCATGTTCTCCGTGAAGGCCTCGCAGAGTCTAAACAGAGCAGACTGGTGTACGAGACTCGCGTCGTCGGCGGTACATGCACTTTCCTCTCGTGGCTGAGACCAGAAACCCATGGAAAACCTCTTCTGTTCATTAACATACTTCGCCAGGGGGTCCTGTGGCAGCTTTTTCAACGGCAAAATGCCCCTACCAGGCACTCTTACTTCTGTCTGACTGGCCGGCAGACGAACCCACTTCTTTGCGGGTTTGTAAACATAATTTGCTTCAATTTCACGCTGTGATGAGCGACTGGAAATTTTTTCAACCGGTATTTTTGCACCCTCTGGCCAGGGACCGGATTCGAAACCCGTCCATGAAAGTGATGTTATTGAGGTGCGATTGTGTGCATTTTGTTCGACTGCAGAGGCATTTGAGCATGTTTCAGGCTCCACCGGTTTGTTGTCCACAGATGGACAATTGCTTCGATTTTCATCAGTTTCTGGTGCAACCGTAGCGCAGGCGAGATTCTCATCTTCTTTCTCGTCACCTGCTCCAGTTGCCGACCGCTGAACTCGCTCGCGCCGGAAAGAAAACTTTTCCTGGCGCAGGATCTCATCAAGCATTTGTTCTGGCGTTTTCCTTTTCGCTGTGGTGGTGGTTGCTGCTGTTGTGGGGGGTGTTTTCGATGCATTTTCCTCATTCTTACCACTGTCGTACCCCTGATCGGGTAAAGTACTCTTCACTGGCTCAGCTTTTGCTACCATGACAGAGGCTTTAGAAGCAGAAATCGCAGATGCACTAACCAGTTTCGGCTTGGGTGCAGATTCGAGTTCCCTGCCAATGTTGAGCGTAGAGGAATTGCGTTGCTCGGCCAGTAGCTGCCTTTTCTTAATTTCGATTGTGGCCCTTTTAAGATTCCGTACAGCTGGAAGCTTTGCGGATTGTCGAGGTGTTGTCGGTAGGAGAGGGTCGGATGTGGCACCTGGCTTGGGCCTGTCATCGAGCCGGGAGCTACGAGGTGTTAGGAAGGGCAACTTCGCCACTTGTGGGGAAGAGGAGACTCTTGGGGTTCGGATCTGGGGCAACATTGGAAGAACGGAAACGTGGGCGCCAAATTTGGATGCGGTTTTTTTGGCAGCTTTGGCTTCACTATCAAATATCCGCCAGCTAGCTAGCTAGAGCGCTAGCAGTCCAGGCGCCTATCGATTGGCGCGTTCGGATTTGTGACCTTGGCGCCTGACTTTAAGCTAGCGAATGCGAATGACGTGACAATTAAAATCGAAATGCCAACAGTGTCAGACACCGGACGCAAGTTGCTGAATAATAGGGGGCAGATCGAATGAGGTACATTCGGTCAACAGTATCAAAGAAGGACGATTTATTCTTACGTCTTAGGTCCTTAAGAAGAAAGCTGTGCACTAGCATGATGAACAGTAAAAGCGCATTTTTTTGATTTTACAGAATATTTCCATTTAAAGAACACTCTATGCTGTTGTCGTCGTTAATCCCCGAAACAAGTTTGCCTGGAATTTGAAGGCTGAGCCATAATTAAAGCATTCGCTATCATCTCGAACCATTGCATCCGTATTATCACGGGGGAACGAGGATTCACTGTTCGTAGCCACTGCTCTAGACTTTTCTCTGCACCGAAACCGTGAAAACAGCGTGAGAAGTGGGCAGTCCTGATAAGTTTCGAAACTGGACGGTGGGCCTGCGAATGTTTCTCAAGGTTTCAGGGAAAGGCGTTTGCATTTCAAAGTGCTGATACAGTTATATAGTCGTCTAGTGTGCTTGCTAATTGGTAGTTGCAATTTGCGTCACAACGTGGTGGACATAATTAACAGTCGCAATGGCCTAATGGCTAACTCGCAACTGTAATTTGAGTCGGTCCGGAGTCAGTCCGGGTCATCCGGTGTGAGTGCTAATTGCGGTTCATGTTGGTTCATAGTTGTTGGCTGAAGTCTCTTCCCCCTTTCTTTGAGGT